TATATATATATATATATATATTTAACAGGGTATCTACTCTGTTACAGGGAATTTTTTTTATCTTGCAAAAACAAAAAATTCTCATGGAATTTTGTCGAGTCTCAGGGAATTTTTTAAAAAATTGTCTTAGGAGAGAGTAAAAAAAAAGCTTCAGTTTTTTATTTCGAATTTTTGCCTTTGATTTTCGATATTCAAAAGTATGCGTAATAAATAAACTCATTTCAAAGTTGCATCTAAAACCTCTCTAATTTTATCTCGAAGTTTGAATACAAATTTTTGGAAAATCAAGGATTTTTCAGGGATTCTTTTCACAAGATTTGAGTAGATATCTTGTCTATAATAAAAATTATCGAATTAATGATGTAAATGATGATATTGCTTGTCGATTTGACATTAGAGAGAGATCTTCGTAGCTGAGGGATTATTCGACAAATCCAGGAATACTCTGTACACAAATATGGAATAATTCCATACCTCCTAAGCGACAATTGTACCTCGATGTTTACGTTTATAGCGGAGATCGAAAGAGCTCCAGTGGAACTGCCGGCAATGTGATATGCGGCCTCGATTTGCGACTAGAGGCGTAAAACTTTTGGGAAACGACGCGGTGGCACGAGATCGAATTCAATTTCTATATTTCCGATTAATTTTAAGATTAAATTTGATCACACACAATATTCTTCTTTATCAATTATATATACATAATTATGTTTCTCTTTTTAACATTGTTAGAGAGAGAGAATATCGATGATCTTAAAAAATATCTTTAAGTAAAGGTAGTATTTGTAGCTTTTATCGTCAAGAGATCCATTCTTTGTGATCCTTGATCTTTAAAGAATTCCTAGACGATTATAATCGATCTAAAGATTCTAAAATATGTCGACATTGGAACTCGTTCCGTCGATCGGTTCCTACTTCGGAGAAACGAGGTGCGAGGTGCCACCTCTTCGTGTACTTAGCGCGAAAATGCGAGTGCGAGAGACAAATACACTTGGGACCACCGTGCAAAAACGTGCAAGGTGTCGTCTTCGAGGCACTCGAGCTAATCCGAACAATAGAACGAAGGCGACGAATAAAACGGGCGAAAGATGACACGAGAGCGAGGAGATCGCGGCGCATGGAAAAATGTTAAACACATTTGTAAACTGTAAAGTTATTGGTTAAATAAGAGAGCAGGGAAAAGAGACGGGACGAGACCAGCTTCTCTCTCTTTTTAGTACCGATTATAATGTCGCTAGATGTATTTACGATACTGTCGTATAAAAAAAGGGGAAAAGAAATCTTTCTCCTCGGCGGTATCATTATAACACAAATGCCTGTGTATTTTACTTCTTGGCAAATAATAAACCATCAAATATTGTACATCACGACACATTTTTCCTAAGGATCCATTTTTTTTTTTTTTTAAGTAGATAGTATAATTTATACGAATCCAAAGATACCAAAAAAAAAAAAAAATCGTGTCAATCAAATTTACAGAATTAAGAACTCAAATTTAATAATCTACGTCATCAAGGATCTATAATATCAGGATGCAATCAAATTAGTTCGAAAATGGCAGAAATCAGTTTGCGCAAAATAATAAATTTAAGAACAGAATATGATACACTTAAGCAAATTTACATATTAGATGTAAATATTTAAAAAAATCAATTATTTTCCAAAGCAATACAACCATATTCTGCATATACAAGAGATAAACTCCTGCTGGCCGGTTTGTTTTCAATGTCTTCCGATAAATCAAATCGAAGTCCAAATCCAGTCCAGCAACAGCGAATAGAGCCGTATACAAAATCGATCAATTTTGTGACAAGCTGTTACGTCTCACTATCCGGTAAGGACCTACTTTGTATTCGACGATTATATCGTATTTGACCTCGAACAAACACGTGCCAGAACATATGCAACGTTTATATATTCACATATGATAATGAATGCTATTAGATGTATTTAATGTGTTACAATGAATATTACATAGTTGTTTAGCGTCAAAAATAATTCTTAAAAAAACAAATTTTTTTTGTAAATAAGAAAAAAAAAAGAAAACAATGAATAGAAAAAAGAGAAACTTTATTTTACAAGACGTGCTGTAGACAAAATAAACAAGGTATCGTGCAGCAGTCATAGTACATAAATTATAAACATTTCTGGAAAATAATATTGAAAATCGGTTAATATTATTAATGCAATATTAGAGCGTTTTAATTTAACTTGTTTTATCGCATAACAGACATGATTTAAATAAACAATTGTCTGTATACAAATATAGAATAGTAATACCTAAAATTATCGTACGTTATAATCTACAAGATTCGAAAGTATAATATCAAAACACATCTTATTAAACGGAAGCTTATTCAGTTTGATTCCAGTTTCTCAATATGCACCAGCTTAGAAACTCTGTCTATTAAATGTGTCAGATGAGTCTTGTAATTTAGCGGAGCAACCGATGCGCAGGTGTGTCTCACTCTCATTTCATCCTGTAAAACACAGAAAATTGAAAATTAAATCTGTTTGTAATTAATTAAATTGATTAATTTAAAATAATTGTTTTATAATGAAAGTTGTCGCTTACCTGAAAAACTTCCGATTTTACCCTCAAACTGAACGTAAATCTCTTGAAACTCGCCTCGCCGAATTTTTGCATATAGGCGTCATTGTCGTTCTCTTTTAATTCTCCCAATTCTTGCGCCGACATGCCCAATATCTTCTCGGCATCTTCGTTGAAGGCAGTTATCCAGCGACTGCCTGTCCCATCCCCTATATTCATCTATGAGAATCATTAAGAAATCGTTAAAAAATGAAACCGATTTCTAAAAAAAATCTTCAAATAACAAATAGATAAAAAGTATGTAATACATACACTTGCCAGTAAGCGATACGCAAAATTAGGATAGTCCCTATTACATTTCTCGCATCTGAATATCCCGGTAGACTGATCAATTAACTAAAATTGAATAACCATTTATAATAATTCGTGTAAACCTAATACAATTGTCATATACAGTTATACATATTATTTAATAAAGTGTTAAAAAAGAAATATGCTTAAGATACATATTTAAAATACTTAAAGTTTATAGAATTCAATACAATTTCATCAGGAAATTTTTATCCTTTTTTCCATTACTGTCCAAATGAGATATAACATTTATATAAAATATTATAATAGCAGTAAAAAAGCTGCCGCTTAAATTAATCCTTCGAGAAATAGAATTTTCTTCTTTACCCTCGAAAGTTTATTTAGTTAATTTTATGGCTATATTCTCAGCTCATATAAATACAAAATACATGAAATATGTATCTTTGAGAAAGAAATAAGAATTTCCACTTTATAATTTTAAATGTCACACATAACTCACCTTCTTCTTGCAGCTTTCTACGGGACATGCCTTGTAAATAGAATTTTCCACACGAATTAAGTTTATAGTGGCCACCACTGTATAAGCATCTGCGAGATTTAGTTTCTCTCCCAACCGCGCTTCGGTCGCCTCCTCGAAGGTGTACAATGGCGCGTTAAAATCACCACCGCCACCTGCTTTAGATAGCGATTTGGCGTTCTCCGAATGGCCGACTGTAGTGTACCACCCACGCAATCTGAAATGTGTATTGTACTTGTATGATGTACACAATGTATTATATACAAATTATTATTCCTGTAATCTATATCTTATTTTTAAAACTGTATTTTAAAACTTTATAAGAGCAATGCATACTATCCTTGAAAAGATTCAAGAATGTCAATATATACATACTTATGTGCTTCCGGTAAATCCGGATCCTTTTCGAGTATGGATGAATTTAAAAGGGACAAATTCTTTCCGCCATTGAACTCTCCAATACGCGCTCCTTTAATGGCTACGATCGGGTTATTAGAACCATCAAAATCTTCGGCCTGTTTTCCCCAAAGTGTGACGCATACCTGACATAAAAAGAAAATTGTTTATTCATTCATAGTAGTAAAATATTAAAATATGCTCTCTCAATAAATTGTTTACCATTGCATTGCTGTCGTCAACGATATTGACGTCTCTCTTTACAAGTTCTCGACCAGTACTTCGCTGTACGATATGTTGCACATCATTGAATGTTGTAACAATGCCCAAGACATCTATTATAAACACAACACCATTATATACACAGTGTTACAGTTTCCAAGTTAGTCGATAGTTATGTATAAATCTTATCTTATATAATAAATTTAAATCAGATTTTTTTGTCACATTTATTATCATATTCTAGAACTCTTTAATATGAAATATATTTATCAATTAATATTTAATTAATTTTGGAAAAATATAACGGCAAAAGATTGAAACAGATATAAACACACTAAATATAGACATAAACAATTGATGTGAATTATACAAAAATGATCGAAGATTGACCGGAATATTTTCGGAACCGAAATGATTTTCGAAATAACACATAGAAATTAATATTTAAGATTTTTATTAAATTTAATTAAATGCTAAATCACATTACCTATCATATCATTCTTCTCCTTGTTTTCCACTTCACTTATGGAACAAAAATTGAACTGCAGCGTCGGTATGTCTTCGCTGTTTTCGTGACATGGCACGATCTCTGTATCATTGGTCATAGTCATTTCGTAATCATTCTTTAATGAGTTGAACTGTTTGTTCGCCGCTTTTAGTGAGCATCGCGAGATATAGTACACATTTCCAATCTGCACAAATAAATCATTCCGCATAACTCAATCCTTCGTAAAATAAAAAAAAAAGTCATCGATTTTAGTTGCACAAGATGTGTGCATACCTCTATCATATCGTAGAACTTATCACACATATCTCTAAATGCGGTGCATCGAATCTCGCCGCTCTCATCGATTAGATCCATAGAAAACAATTTACCCTCTCCACGAGAGTTGCTCCATGTTCTAATTGCAGATTTATTGGTCACACGAACCTTGATCACCCATCTAAATGCGAACAATAATTGGTTTTTTGTGTGCTTCACATATTTTTATATCTATAAATATATTTTAATATTGAATTTCTTTCTTCATACCTGTTTTGGTAAGGACTTAGCGCTGCAATTGGTGTAGTACATATATCAGAAGACCCGTAATTATCTGAAGTATTTCTTTGAGCTGTACCATCTATTGCAAGCAAAACAAATTTTATATTTAATGACATAAGTATCACAAAAATAAAATATAAGGAACTATAATATAATTGACAAAAATAATGGCGTACTTACTAGTTTGACAACCTAGTCCAGTATTTTTGGATGTATCAGATGTAGCTGAACAGTCAGGCTCTGATTTGCTCTCTATATTAGTTGGATCACCTATTTTACGTCCAACTTTGCTGCCAGGAACTATCACCTCAATACCCATTATTAGCATCACGCGTCTAATAAAATGAATAGAAATATATGCTTGATTTTTGTACTATTTATGCATTTTAATGCATTAAATATGTGATAAATACTTTTCCTTGCCACCATTGTTCACTGAAGACAGGTGATAGTTTGATACTTTACAGATTGCATATTCAGTCAAAATATTATCATCTATCAGGTTATTTAATTGAGTGGCCAACATTGTAAATGAGTTGAATCTCTGTCCATCAGATATGAGTAATCTATATCGATCAGTAGTGGTACCATCTTTATTAACAGATTTCGGTAGTTTTTTATAGCCCTGTAAAATCACAATTACAAAAGTACGAAATCAAAATCTGACTGTCTGAAATATCAATTTTTCTGAATTTTTAAGAATAAAGCTAAGGCCGAATATTCTTTGCAAAAACATATATGTCTCTTGTAAAAACAAGCTTAACAGTATAATGATTCTGTGCTGGCTCTATACAAAAATAACATTTATATTTCTAAGATAGTACAGCTTGTAGTTTGTTTTGTAATTCACGGACAAAATGTCAAGAAATCAAACTCTGTTAGGTTGTCCATTGCATCCATTTAATCGTTATACTCACCAACATTTGAAGTATCGGTTTCTCGACATCTACGCCTTTCATGATTTTCTGAAACGATCGAATTTCACCGTTAGGCAATAATTTACGCAATAACGACATACCTCTGACAAACTTACTTCTAACGATCCTTCCGTTAGCTTGTACATGATTGCGGATTATTCAGTCTCGACACTTGTCTCCCGATATTACGTCTCTTTTGTGTCTCTGTTGATGGCCGAATATCAGCAGCGTGGCGGAATATGCGTCGGTACTCCGAGCTTCCCGCCGAAATCGTCGATTAGTCAACGATTGACGCAATTGACAAGTCTGCGTTCCGCAACTCTCTACAAAAAATTCACTTTCTTAAATCTAGTTGGCGTTACTATATAGGGTGCGTTCGAAAATTCTACTAGTAGAGTAGATAGAATTTAATTGACCAATAAAAACACAGAAGTCTTTGCTCTTTTTATACTTGATTTCCGAACATACCCGTTTATAATTCAAACCACAAACCACAACCTACCACCTGCCACAACCTGTCATATACCAGTCATATACACAGTCATATTATACTATATACTCTTTCAGTTAAACGCACTCTTCGAAAAAAAAAGGAAAAGAAAAAAAGAGCTTGTGATAAGATATGTACATTAATTTGAATAATCTTAAAAATATCTAATTTAATATACATATATAGAAAAAAACAATTACAAACCGCGCACAATGCCAATTACCGAGAGGACGGCGAATTCCGAATCATTATTACAGTTTCGTTGCATATGTTTTTACTTAATACTCAGTTCTATCATAGACATACGATTTTGGCAGCAATACCACAGGAATTGGTAAATTTAAATAATATCGCGAAATCAATTAAACGGCTATCCAATTATGAATACGGAATACGACGAGGATTTGTCGGAGAATCGATTTCTGCAGGAGCTCAGAAATGAATATAAAGCTACATTCCAACGGGTTATCCAGGAAGGTTGGATTATCTGTGTTCCACGGATTGGAAGCTTCTCGAGTCGCGAATTACGAGAGGACGAAGTTAACGCTCATATCCTGATCTCCAAGCAGGACTTCTCTGCCGCTCGATTTGATAGTCTGAACGGCAGGGAAGTCCTGCTCGTGGACAGAGTCTTGACTGTCAAGTACGATGACGGCAAACAAAATTCCACACGCTTGCTTTTCGAAGAAATCTTTTACAGTGACGATTCGCATAAATATTGTATATGGTAAGTATGCATTTAAATTACAGAGTTAAACATTAATCTAACACATTATTGTGTTCCACAGGTGTATAGAACAACCCTTGGATGCTAATATGTGTGTCTCAGGCAACTATGTGAATGTAATTACAAGTCTCCAGGAAGCTGTAAATTTTCTGCAAGTGGAACTACTTGATAAACAGCTCCATGATAACTTTGAAACCAAAATCAAAGATTTTTTATATGTCAACAAAAATTTAGACCGTAAACCAATGGAAGTGCAGAGAGATCTAGTACACGAATTGTATACGGATTGTCTCAAAATGTTACTGGAAAATGCAGCATTGAAAGAAAAGGTCTCAGGTAGTAAACAGTATTATTGGAACATTAGAGTATCGCTAGAAACATATATTCTATATGCTTTAAGAGAGGTACTGCTAAGATCATTATCCACTTGTACCGCTGTAGAAGATGCGTACTTGAACAAAATTATCAGGAATTTAGATGGGATCCTATTGAGCGATCTTCGAATACGATCGGACTTGGAATCTCGCGTCCATGGAGGAAAGATGGAACTATCACGGTTAGATTGCTATGTAACTGCGTTGGGTAAAATCGAATGTCTCAGAAGAACTGTGAATTACGTTTCGCGTGGAACGTCCACCGTCTCGTGCGATGATCTTCTACCGATACTTGTGTTTCTCGTTGTTAATGTCGGTCTATCGAACTGGATGGCGCAATTATTCTTCATGAGGCAATTCCGTCTTTCCACAAACTCTGCTTACGAAGCGGACGAAACCTGTTTTCTGGTAACATCGCTGGAGGCTGCGATCGAGCACATCAAGTCCGGAGTAATCTGCGAAGGCGACAAGTACGCAATTAATTCGGATAAATACAGTCAATTGATAGACGAATCGGATTGCTCGTCTGTCAATTATTTGTTTGCATGTGTTAAGAACGGCAATCTATCCGAAGTGGAGAGAATACTGACCTACGAGAGATCCAACCAAGACGATGAGGTCTCGCTTTGTCATCCTTTATGCACCTGTGCGTCCTGCGAGCGATATTGGACGAATCATCGAGAGCTAAGTGCGTGTCCCAGGGACGACAGAGGTCTAACTTCGTTACACATCGCGGTACTGTACGATCAAATAATGATCGTGGACTTTTTTCTCGACCGTGGTACAGATATAAATGTCGCCGATTCGGATGGTCTAACGCCTCTTCATTACGCCTGCATCAAGGGCCACCAAAATATTTTGCTGCTGATGCTACATGCCAATGCGAATCTCACAGTGGCGGACTCGCAAGGAAATACACCGCTGCATTTGGCCGTGGACCGCGGTCACGAGAGCTGCGTAAAAGCGTTGCTATACCTGTCAGAACACATGAAGGTATCGGTTAACGCAAATGTCACCAACGACAACGGCGACACGCCGTTGCATCTCGCGGCCAAGTGGGGCTACTGCGCGATCGTTGGCATCCTCTTAGAATACGGCGCAAACAGCAGATTAACCAATAGGAAAGGTCAAACACCGCTGACCACTACGTACAGCGAGAGTATTGCCGAGTTACTCAGACGCTATGCAACATCTGCGAACGACATTCGCAACAATACTGCTTTGTCCCAGAAAAAATACGCAACCCTCGTGCAATCTCATCAGTCAATATGGTTTCAGGATCAACGTTGGGCTACGTTGGACAACTTGGAGAGCTTACCAACGTCGCATCCCAAGAGCTCTGCTAATGCACAGCATCGTATGATGGACAAATTGCTTGCCGCCATAATCGACGGTGATATATGCTTAGCGTGCTACTACCTGGGATTGGAGGTTTATCGAAGCGAGCGACTGCCGGGCTCTCGCGCGATTCTGTACCATCATCCATTGTGCGACTGCGAGCGTTGTTCGGCGCTCGGCGAGCGCAAATTCCAGCGCGAGCGAAGGCAACGGGTTCTTGCGATCAACGCTTGCAACAATTTGGGCGAGACGGCGTTGCATGTGGCGAGTGCGACCGGTCGCGTTGAAATGGTGCAGCTACTCCTGGACGCTGGCGCAAATGTGAACGCGATAACTAAGTCGGAGAGTCGCACTCCGTTACACCTAGCGTGTCTCAACGATCGCGTCGACGCGGCGAAGCTATTGCTCCACTGCGGGACCTGCGATTTAGACGTTAAGGATCACAACGGCGACACGTCATTGCATCTGGCGACCATAGCCGGCAGCGTGAAACTCGTGAATCTGTTGGTGAGATATGGTGCAAACACCAATGTTCGCAATGTCCAAAACAAGTCGCCGCTACGGCAGGCGGAAGAGTTGCAGCTATCCGTTGTCTTCTCCACAAATCATGCCAGTATACTGAAGATTCTGAAACAAAATACTCAACCAGCTGGCGATTAGTATAAATCATCCTGCTTTTTTATATGTCTGTGTTTTATTTACCTCATAAATAATTTAACTAACATATATAGCACAAGCTGTCATACTATATAATGTGATTCAATACTGAGCATATTAATATAAAATGATATATAATAAATATTATAATAGTAATACTATAATAGTAATATTGTAATAGAACGCAAGTGTGTATTATATTATATAATATAATAAAACTGTGTGTGTGTACAAAATATAATATAACAGCGAAAGCGATTGCGTCCAATACTCGATATATGCATAATAAAATGTCTGTGTGTTTTATTGTATAATAATGAAAATGATTGCGTTTGCGTGCGTGCGTGTGTGTGTGTGCAAAACGTAGTTAACAGCAAAAGCGATCAATCCATTTTTATTCACGAATGTATATAAGTCATATTATTTTTAGTATTTGTGAATAATTCCAATTTAGTGTTCAATGCATATTATGTAACGAAAATATCTTTATTTCATATATATTGCATTAGATACACAGGATGTCTTTATTTTACATATACTTCTATTGATATCCAATAGGAGTTAATATATTTTTTAAGACTTTCTAGCGCTATTTTTATTTCTAAATAATTTTATTTTATTATTCGATGAAACGCCGACGATAAAACACAAAATGAAAAAGAGATATGTATAACGCTATATATTTATAAGAGAATTGTGATACTATTCTGTAATATATATTTTGCCATTTTTAAAAATCTGATGAACTGTATTAATAATACAAAATGCATATGTCTTCTAATTGAACATACCCATCTATTCCTATCTACCTACACATCTTGTCGTGCACACGTCCTTTTCCTTTTATATATTTTCTTGATACATTTTTGCCGATTTTTCGTTCTTTGAATTTCTGAAACTGTATTTCTTCAATCAAAAGTATCAAAAGAATATAATCAGCAAAGAGATGGCACAAGGCCATCTTTTTAAAAAGCGCAAAAATTTGAAATTAAAATCCGTAAAAGTATCAGAATTTTTTTTTCTTTTTCGAAAGAAGAGAAAAATGCATTATAATACAAATAGAAATTTTAAGAACTCCAGCTTTATTTTCTCTCTCTCTCTTTCTCTTTCTGCAGTGAATACTGTCGGCTACCGGCTTCTTAAAATTCTTTACATGGTAGTTCCCTAAAAAATAATCGCATTGTATGTAAAATCAATGTGTTATTGACAGAAAAAGTATGTTTGTTTCATAAATTATTATTATTATTATTTGTCGATTGCTGACGCACACATCATAAAAAAAATTTCTATTGATACCAATAAATAATTTATGTAACCTAACCTTTAAACACGTTCAACTCTGTCAAATAAGAATCGGAATGTAACTCAATTTTTTGTTACAAAAATTACAAAAGATATTTGACAACAAAAGTTTCGCAACAAATTGATAAAGAAATACTTCGATTGTTATAGTACCAGTAAACTCTGGCAAAGCGATAGGTAGGATAATTTATATTAGCTTTCGATGCGATTGGTTATGTGTCTTTGTTATTCCGGCAATATCGGTATTTGGTTATTATTGCGAGCATTGCATCACTAAGGACTATCTCATAGTCATTCTGCTCCACTAACTGACATTCCTAATTTTTCGAAAAGTATTCTTAATATTCTTCGAATTTTTAATTGATATCTTCGCTTAATACAGCTTCTTTCTGAACTTTAAAAAAATTAATGAATATTCAATCAAAAGATTTATTACAAAATATATATTAAAAAGTGGAATGTCCGTCAGTGAAATAGTGTTTGATTGCAATAAAAAGCTTTACATATAATTTAAATCTACTTGGAATTATTCCAGAGAGATTGGTAAGTATTTTTATATTTAATGTCATTTTTTTTTATAAAATGTATAATAATTTTTACATTATTCTTTCAGCATGTAAGATCTATCATCTTAAACTATATAGCTCTCTGACATATCACTGTATATTATTTCCAGATACAATTCTTATTCCAAAAATGTTGAGGCTATTAAACTTATCAAGAAAATCCTCTTTAAGAAGTACGGCTTCGCAACAACACCTCGCTTATCGTGTCCTTCATTCATCGACAAATGTCAAATCAAATACTCTACATTCGAAAAAAGAACTGGTGCAGGATAAATTGGATAAATTTAAAAAGGGCGAAATTCTTTACGGATTTATTGTAGATGAGGTATCAAAGATAGATGAGCTATTTCTCACTGCAGTGAGATTAACACACCTGAGCACAGGTGCGCAATATCTGCATTTGGACAGGGACGATACTAACAATGTATTCTCCATTGGATTTCGTACGACTCCCATGGATTCCACTGGTTTACCTCACATATTGGAACATACTACCCTGTGCGGTAGCGAGCGATATCCCTGCAGAGATCCGTTCTTCAAAATGCTGAGGAGATCTCTGGCTACGTTCATGAACGCTATGACAGGGCCAGACTATACCATATATCCATTTTCGACGCAAAACCTGAAGGACTATCGCAATCTACAATCGGTCTATTTGGATTCTGTCTTCAAGCCAAATCTGCGAGAGTTAGATTTCCGACAGGAGGGTTGGAGACTGGAGCACACGGACGTCAACGACAAAAATTCTCCCATCATATTCAAAGGCGTGGTCTTTAATGAAATGAAGGGTGTTTTCAATGACAATCAAGCCATTCTAGCGGAACGTCTGCTGAATTCCATTCTACCAAATCATACGTACTCGGTAATTTCTGGCGGCGATCCTCTCATCATACCTAATCTGCAGTATGTCGATCTCCTCAATTTCCATATGAAGTATTATCATCCCTCCAATTCGCGCTTCTATTCATACGGGAATTTCCCGTTGGAAGATCATTTGAAGTTTATCAACGACCGATATCTCTTTCTATCTGACCGGATAGATGCTTCCATGTCGGAAGTGCCACCGGAGAAGCGGTGGAACGAAGCTAGAAAGGAGCACATTGCATGCAGACCTGATCCACTACTCGCAGATCCTAGCAGACACGGCTCTATTGCCATATCACATTTGTGTAACGATATAACCGACATACAGACGACCTTCGAGATGTATGTGCTGTCGCAACTGTTGCTCAGAGGCCCGAATTCGGCATTTTACAAATCTCTAGTCGAATCGGACATAAGCACTGGCTTCGGTCCGGTCACGGGTTTCGATTCGCAGTGTAAAGATACAATGTTCGTCGTAAGTCTGCAGGGTGTAAAGCCCGAAAGCTTCGAAAGTGTCGAGAGTATCTTCGACAACACCGTGGAAAAAGTTATCGACAAGGGATTCGAGAAGGATCACATTGAAGCTGTTTTGCACGGCATCGAACTTCAAGTCAAGCATCAAACGTCAAATTTCGGGCTAAATCTGCTCTTTAATCTGACATCCTTGTGGAATCACGACGGTGACTTGATACAGTCATTGAGAATCAACGACGCGGTAAAAAAACTCACATCGCGGATGAGGGAAGATCCCAAGTATCTGCAAAGTTTGATCAAAACTTATCTCAGAGACAATAATCACAGATTGACGTTGACTATGTCGCCCGATGAGAATTACGAGCAGAATAAAGCGCTCGCTGAGCAAGCATTGCTGAAAAAGAAAGTGGAGGAGCTTTCCGCGGAAGAGGAGGAACTAATTTACGTCAATGGAAAAATCTTGCTTGCTGAGCAACAGAAGAAAGAGAACGTCGAAGTCTTACCGACACTGAAGATGGAAGATTTGAGGGCCGACGTGGAGAGATACAATACGTCCAATCTGGAGATATCCGGAGTGCCTCTTCAGCTGTCCGTACAGCCGACAAATGGTATCTCCTATTATCGAGGAATACTCAACACGCAGGCGCTGCCGACCGAATTGAAGCAACTGATACCGCTCTTCAACTACATTATCGCTAAGATGGGCACACAGAATTACGATTACAGAAGCTTCGATCAGATGATGCAGCTGAAGACCGGCGGTCTGAATTTCGCGAATCACATTGCTGAGAATAAGGAAAGCGAATTGAAGTACGAAGAAGGGATTCTTGTAGAATCGTATTGCTTGGATCGCAATTTGAGATACATGTGGGAATTATGGACGGAATTGTTCAATAATGTTAAACTGACCGATCCTCAGCGATTTGAGACGCTTGTAAAGATGAACGCGGCTGACTTAATCAACGGCATCTCGCACGCCGGTCACATGTACGCGATGAGTAGCGCCGCTAGTCTGGTCTCTCCGATAGCTCGGGCCAAAGAAAATCTTTCTGGATTGCAGTATGTGGCGAGGATGAAGAGAATAGCTCAGATACGCGATCTGTCCTCTCTGATACCCAACATGCAGGAGATAGCCGAACGCGTCTTGAATAAGCAACACTTGCGGTCGTCCATTAATTTGTCTGAGGAACACAAGGACAATGCTCTTGACCGTATTCGTGCGTTTTATGAATCGCTAAAGGGTTCTCCGGAGAATTCGTATGTCATCACCAGCGATCAGAGCAATGAAACGAGTGAAAGCGGTAATCATCATGTACTGCCATACACAGTGAATTATTGTTCCAAGGCCGTTCTGACAGTTCCTTATATGAATCCGGACTATGCCCCGTTACGTGTACTTTCCAAGTTAGTCACCTCGGTATACCTGCATCCGGAGATTCGAGAGAAAGGCGGAGCTTACGGCGGAGGTGTGAAATTGACGTCGGAGGGAATCTTCTCCTTTTACTCTTACAGAGATCCGAATTCCACTCGTACCTTTGATTTGTTTGACAAGACATACGATTTTTTAACCGAGTACTCGTTACCCCAAAGCGACATAGACGAGGCAAAACTGGGAGTTTTCCAGCAAATCGACGGTCCTATTCCTCCCAGCAACCGTGGCATGACTAAATTTACCCACGGCATCACAGACGATGATCTTCAAAGGCAGAGGGAACAGCTGAAGGCTGTAACTAAGGATCAGCTTTTGCACGTGGCTGAAAAGTATCTGAAACCAGGTCAAAATGGTATCAAAATCGGTCGTTCACTTATCGGACCTACGAATGCCGATATTTCGAATAGGCGCGCGGAAAATTGGATGGTATTAAATCAGGAAGAAGCAGACCAAGCATGAGCCACTGAATAAACATCAAGACGTTATTTTTGTTATTTGGTATACATTTGACGTTAAGTATTAGAACTTGAAAAGAGATAGCACATACGTTAATAGTACATAACATTTGTTAAATAATTATTGTAATTTATGCTATATTTTGTACATTAAAAACGTATCGTATAGTAAAGAAAATGAAAAAAAAAAAAAATTGATCTGTTTTACTCGTTTAATTCTTAATTTTCACAATCCTTGTATTCATCAGAATCATATATTTATTACAAAGCATAATTTTCTTTTTTATTTTCATCAGACGCGTAGATATGGATACCAATGCTGAAAAGAAATATTTTTTCGAAGCGCTATCTTTATTTTATGAAACGCAATGGCTTAATAATATAGCAGTAACCGAGATCTTGACTAAAGCATCTTTAGATGCAATCCCCAAAAAATGGATTGAACATTTACAAATTTTGGAAAATGATGAATTCAATGATATCATAGCAAGAAGGGCAATAAAGGTTAGTCAAAAAATCAAGAATATTATATAATAAATTCTTAAAAATTTTTTAATGAATTATTTTAACATATTTTCGTTGTTCCAGCCTGAATGGCCCGATTCGTTAAAAAAGTACGTTGAGAAATGTCAAAATATTAATAGACTGTCACCCATACAGATATCACTTTCTAAACTAGAATTACCACAGAAATTTAAAATTGGTCTTAGTCGAAAGAAACAACATGAAATAATACATTTTGCTCACTTAGTGCACATGCAATGCAAGTTGCACAATATACAAACAATCATCGATTTGGGTGCAGGTTTGGTAAGAAAATAACAATATAAAAGATTTAAATTTTAAACTCTTGCATGCTGCAACAAAAATTTTTCAGGGATACATATGCCAAATTTTACATTATTTGTATGGCTACCAAGTCCTGGGTTTGGAAAAAGATATAGAAAACGTGAACAGAGCATGTATTAGACAAGAAAAGTCGCATCTCGATTCTTTGACTAAAGTTAAATACATCCATTGCAACGTGACGCGTGATTCCGCTGATACGATAGAATCTATCTTACAGCAAGAATTCCCTGGCTTTACGAATGTGTGTCTAATCGGTTTGCATGCCTGCGGAGACTTAAGTGCAAACGCATCAAGAATTTTCTGCAAAATAAAGTCTATTAAGCTATTTATTCTAATCTCTTGCTGTTATCACAAACTTTCTATTTCCAAGAATGTACACACTCCGTTGCAGAAGAAACAATATTTTCACAATTTTCCCACATCGAATTGTCTACGAGAAACGATCGCGGCGCACAATTTTGACATAGGCCAATTCTTAAGAATACCCTTTCTGCGATTAGCGTGTCAAGAATCGGCGGATAAATGGTATGGCATGTCCAAAGAAAAGCATGACGAACATTCCTTTCACGTTCTCGCTCGAGCCGTGCTCGAGTTATATTCGCAACAAAGTAGGTGTCTGTGATATTACATGATATATGTATACATTCTGTAGATCAATTGCTCATGAAAAATGTATTCTAGATAATCTTGTTCTTAAGAAAAAAGTTCAGAAAGGTACGAGGAAGTCCCAATGTTCGAGTTTTCAAACTTACGTTAAGGACTCGTTATTAAGATATGATCTGGTACCGGATACGAACGTAAAGTTTACAGGTAACACTGATAATACAATAATATTTGCAAGATTAATAATTTTTAACTCTAATTTTTTAATTTAATATATAATATTTATACAATACTTTTATATATGTATAAAGGTAATGTGATCGTACACGATGAATTAGAGAAAGGCATAACACAAGTATGGGAGGAACAAAGTCAAAAATTAGAAATTGTTAAAATCTACTCTGGTCTGCAAATGATGCTACAACTCCCGGCAGAGTCATTGATTCTACAGGATCGATTATCCTGGTTACACGAACAAGGCCTAGAAGCTGTAATTGTGCCTGTGATGAACAAATCTATATCTCCTCGTTCATACGCAATAGTGTCTCATAAAAACTGAAAATTATTTATATTATGCTGTGATAAATAATATAAATAAAAATTAAAATATATTTATGGAGAGATGATTAAAATAATATAGTTCGTAACTAAATAATTCAATGTTAATAAAAAGTTACTAAAAACATTTAAAATATATTTTTTTTTAATATATCTCATATTGAATATATATCTCTTTCTCTTTTATTACATCCTACATTAAAATCATAGATTATATATAATTAAATTATATTGAAATTATTTTATGTAAAAATTAGAAAGTTATAAGAAGAAAAATTTGAAATATGTTTTCAGTCATATAATATTTTTGACATACATACTGTTATATTCTTATCTGTAAGGGTGAATTTGCGATGCTGCTTTGATATTTGTCTTAATCGCACTCGGCGCCTTATTCATTTGTCCCACTGTAAAGTATTTAAAATTAAAAGATAATTAAAATTATAAACGGCATAATTGCACGGGAGAAAATGGAAATCTTCAGAGAAACACTTACTTTGTGGATTACCCATTGGCCCTTGTCCTGGTGTCTGCTGCTGATTACCAGGTCTGCCCACCATCATGCTATTATTTACTGAATTTACGCCGGACTGAACCATTTGTATAGAGTCAGACTGTGTAAATGAAGTGTGGATAACATATTAGTTCTGATATATATATATGGAAATACAATACTGTAAAAAGATAATTTTTTTCTTTAAAAAATCAGAATATTTGTTCTCTCAGAAAGTAAGATTATAATGTACCTTTAAACCTTTACCCATTCCCACAGCAGCCAGAAGAGCATGAGTGTCCGCAGCACTGCTAGTCTGCGCTTGTGTCGCTCTGGCTCCAGCTTCGCTTTCCCATTCTTCGCGTGCCTTATTTGCTATATCCCACACGTGACTAATCACCTTTGTATATTGCGCCAGTTGTTTCTGAAACCCAACGACGCATATAGAATGCTTGATAAGTGACAGAATTCCTGTGTTCCACTCGCTAAATGGACCATACAGAAATTTCTGATTACATAGCGAATGTAATTTTGAACATTAAACATCTATAGCTATTTATATAGCTACAAATAGGCTTGCCACATAACATCAATCTCAGCCCAAAGCAAATGGAACAAAGTTGAAGCTATTTGATTAATAGCTTACATTGTAGTCCTAGTTGTTGTTTAGTTAGCACATTAACAGAAAAATAGAACACATTTTCAGTTAGCTTCAATGTATTGATCTTAGCAGATACTATATACATACTTAATTGTGTGAGCAGATATAATCTTAAAAAATTTTGTCACATAGTAACGTTAAAAAATTTTAGTTGTGTCATGTATATATTATACTTTAATATTCAAATATATTTACTAAAATAATTTTTTGTCTTAAGAGAAAGAATATAAGAGTATATCAAATAAAAAAAAAAGTAAATACATAGAGAATTATGTCTTACATGTGATGTATCAATGTTAACATTCGCAGCTTTAGCTTCCAACTGCATCATTTTCTGTTCAGCTTGAGGTTCTAGCTTTGTCCTCAAGTAGTCCGGAACCAAATCATGTGCAAATGTGGGGATTCTACCTTCGGTCAGTCGAAGCAACTCTTCGTCTTTCTCGGGGCTCAAGCGTAGCGGTAGAACTGTTAGGTTTCTGAGATTGGGTGCTTTATCATGCGCAAGAATCTTTGAAAGGCTAGTCAGCTGTACAAATGTGATATAAGAATATCATTTAAGAGAGAGACAAAGCAATATAAATTTTCGATTAATAAAATAAAATACTTACATGTCCTGAAATAAGCGCGAAATTGTCGAGAAAATTTGGCCAATTCAAGGTCTCATATTCGTGCTCTATTTTAAATATCATTGCGGCAATCGCGGTTTTTAAATCGTTTACTCGCATTATGATGGCTTCCAAAGCCGAATCCAATTGTTTCTCCTCCCTTTGCATTGTGTTTAGAGGTTCACGTTTAGGTTAGTTTACGTTAACACGGCTATGTGTTAGCAGCAATTATCAGCAACACCGATTATGTACAGGATATTCAATACATCTCGGACCTACGTTGAAAATATTATTTTTTAAGTAATTTTTTAATTAAAAAGTTCAGAATTATCTCACACAGATTATACCTATCAATAATCATATAATCGAATTTTAGAATGCCAGGACTACACATTGACATTATATATATATATATATTCTACATTATTTATACAAAATTATACAAAAAATTAGATATGAACGACAATTTCTTCGAGCAGAGATCCAATTCCTACAGCTCGAAATACATGAAATTTCAGGAACAAAATTAGAAATCGCAAATATGTATGTATTACTCACTGTGAGAAGTTTCGTGGTAATATATGTGACTACATAGTTTTCAATGTTTTATGAACGTAGAGGTATCTTGAATGCGGATTTCGTCTAAATTGCTAGAATAGGATAATGCACAGTAATCAGAGATGGGCTGATCAAAGCACCTCCCTTCCACTTTTGACAGCTATCGCGATGACATCTCGTGGCTGTACACCATCAGCTGTTCGCCAGCTGATCATTTCCAACACGTGATTACTCGCAAGAATTGTTATGGTCACGATTACTTGCAAGAATTGTTAATTATTTTACTGCGAGAACCCACACGGGACACGCATACATGCATAACGTCATGAAATCCTTTCGCGAGGTCCTCTCGAACGCGAGCAACATTTTAATCTTAACCGGCAGCGGTATCTCCGCGGAATCCGGGGTGCCAACTTTCAGGGGTGCTGGCGGATTTTGGCGTAAATATCAGGCGCCAAGTCTCGCGACACCGGAGGCCTTCGCGGCGAACCCTTCATTAGTCTGGGAATTTTACGAATATCGCAGGCAATTAGTGAGCAAAGTCAAGCCGAATAAGGTAATTCGACGCTTGATAAGTTCAAATATTTTTAAACAATTTCTAACTTTCTTGATGTGTTGTACAATTTTCTATATCACATTTACATTTCCATATTTTAGGCAGTTTTAAAACATAAACTCCTGTAAAATATTTAAAATTAATAGTAAAATACAATTTAGTCTTACTTTTTTTTTAGGCGCACGAAGCTGTTGCTGAATTTCAAAAACGCAAAATAGCAGAGGGTAAAAATGTGTCAATCGTCACGCAGAATATAGATGGATTACATCAAAAAGCTGGGGCGCAGGATGTAGTGGAGTTACATGGTTCGCTTTATAGAACACGCTGTACCAAATGTCATAACAATGCCATTAATGAGAATATTCCCATTTGCCCAGCATTGGCAGGAAAAGGGTATGCTATTGAGAATTCTGTAAGCATAATAGCAGACAGTGAAATGTGAGATAGTATCTATATGTGACTATAGTATATTTTTTTTCATCGATCTGATGATAATGAATCTAACAGATCTCCTGACCCGAGCATTATGTCCTCTGATATTCCAAGGGAAGAATTACCGCGTTGTGAAATCAAAGATTGTGGAGCTTTGCTGCGACCTGATATCATATGGTTTGGTGAACAGCTAGACGAAAATGTACTGCAAAAGGCTTGTATGTATGAATTTTTTTTTAATAAGTATAAATCATATCTTGCTTATATATAAAACATGCATATGTAAAACTACAAAACGTGAAATAAAAGTTTTAACACTTAATTAAAAAAATAAACTGTTACAGTTGACATTGTTGAAAGTTGCGACGCTTGCTTGGTCATCGGAACCTCAGCGATCGTATATCCAGCCGCAATGTTTGCACCGCAAGTAGCGCGACGTAACATACCGGTAGCAGAGTTCAATATAGAAGAAACGCCAGCCACGGGACAAATGCAGTAAGTATATTTTATCAACTCGTCTGTTTTTAAATTGAATTGATTATTATGCAAGATACTCTTTCGCTAAAATTACACGATTAAATTTTTATCTGAATTAAGATAAAGATAAAATTTATAGATATATAAAATATAAAATATCGCGTAACAATATAAAATGTACTGCTTTTTATACATGCATATTGACTTTGCAAGTACTTTGTGAAAACTATGACGTTACGTCATAATTTCTTCGTGCTTCCGCTTACGTCCGCCTTTAGTATGACTCGTGTTTGACTATAACAAAAAAAAATATATAATATGTAGTACTATATTTGAAGTTTGAAAGTTAATTAAATAATTTGCAAAAGGATTTTTAAAGGCGAATTTTTTCGTAGATACCACTTTCAAGGCCCCTGTACTACTACTGTGACAGAAGCGTTGGCGCCTTGAAAGAGTTGAAATAATACACACAAAACATAATATAATAATATAATAATTAATCTGTCTTTCTCATAGCATAAAAAATTGATTACCTTACAATAGCACACTTCTGTATTCAATCCGAGATGATTCAAGTAGTCCAACCATAATTTTTGTTTGGTTGACAATGAATCGCCTGGACCCTTTACCTCTACAATTTTGTACTGAAAAAATAAGATTCAATTGCATTTTAATTTACGTTTGCATAAGACTTCTAAAATATAAGACCTTTTCTCGAATATAATGTATATATATAATGTATAATATATATAAGCTTTTAAAATTATGTATATAGAAAAATAAACTTACTTGTTTTGTACATGCGTTCCATACAATTAAATCTGGAAAGCCAGCTCTCCAAAGTCGAAAATCATGAACGAGTCGTTCACAAATACCAACAATACCTTCTACTCCTAAACAAAACGCTACCTCCTGAAAACAAACATGCGTATAGATAAATTGTCTTTCATCATAAAGATTATTAATTACCTGAAAGTTATTACTGTCATCAAAAAGAGTGCCCTGACAGAGAGAGGTATATTCGCGGTATAAATCGAATTCATGTTTCACATGTCTGCTCAATGTTTCCGAATCGAATTTCCGAATGATTTGAAGCTTCATGTCTATTCGCTCTTTTCTGTTCTCATAAAATTCCGATGAATATAAATCTAATGGTGCGTCTTGATATGATGATACGCAAGTGCCGGGAATGTTCATATTGTAAATCTCGTCCCAAAACAATGTGCCAAATAGAGTGATCGGGAAGGCACCTTCGCAATGTACACCTTTGGGATATCCCTTGTGTTTGTAGTCATATAGCGCAAAACTTTCAACAGAACCATACATTTGTTGATCTACATTATTGTTGATACACCAAGTGCTCTTCCTTTGCAAAGTATTCCTGGAAACATATGTATATACCTTTCCTAAATTCTCTTAGTCACTAAAAATTTTATTAAAATAAGATTTGTTTCATATGAATTACCCGCATAACATTCCTTCTATCGTAATAGAACATGTCTGGGAAATTGGTCGCGCTTTGTTGAGCATGTTATCCAATATATGTCTAACGGTAGCTTTTGTACATTTATTGATGCCAGTTTTTCTCTTAACAAGCATTTCTGCTCTATCCAACAAGTCTAATCTATCGACTTTTGTCAGGCTCTCGTGCGACGCTGCATCCGATAGTAGCGCAACACTAGCATCAAGATTCTTCATATGATACATCTCTATTTTGATCAATTCATTGAACCATGATCCTTTTCTACTCTTCATATGACAATCCTGATCTATTAACGTTCGCAAGAATTCCACCGCCCGTGGCATCGTTTCTGTAGTCTTTTTAAATGCGTCAACACTTTTAGATAAAACCTTGAGCCACAAATAACCTGGCATAAAACGTCTGATGTGACGAGGCAGTGTGGAGTCTTCAAGACTGCAAAAGAACAATGTAACATAAAACATAAATTTACATCAACATGATTTTATCAATTAATTAAGCATGTTATGTAAGTTATATTTTCATTACCTTTGTGTTTCTACCTCCAAAAAGAGCGGCAAACGTTGCGCGGCCAAAGATCCAAGATTCCGTACAACATCCCATTGTTTCTTCTCAATTGCGCTCAACATATCAGATAATGTATTTTTAGCTTCTATGTAACTGTAAAATAAGATTCAAATTAGGAAAAAATAAGATTTTCTCCCAAAGCAAAATCAATCATATATAATAAAGTATATAAGACAATACGTTACTTACTCTAACAAGTGTCCTTTGCTAGCAAAGATAGGAAATTCACTTATTGTTAATTTTGGAAACTTCATCTGATTTGTTTCGACTCTTAGTATCATTAGGAATACATCCACCAAAGTCTCAGTGGGATCTCGATTTGGCATCAACAGTGTAATTATTCTATCAACCATTTGTTTCACTCTTGTATTCAATAATACGCAAGATCCTAAGCGCTTGTTGACAGATGCGCGTAGTTTAGTGGCGGGACTCAGTATTCCAGGGAACAATGATCTTGTCTCATTGCAAAACTTTAAGATTGATTGTACGTAGTCTTCTTTTCTTTTACTACAATTCATTTTCAATTCTTGACAGATCTTGCGAATTTCATCGACTTGTAATAATTTCAGCAAAGCAGATATATCTTCTTCTTCTGTACTACTTTTGAAAATAGATCGTGATACAAGCTCATCGAAAATCGGCTTTAGATCATTAGATATCTCGTCGTATTTAATGTTACCTATCCTGTGCCATGTATGCTTCCTTTTTAACATGCGTATCAGTAATGCTTGCGCATGTCTTGAAAGAGTAAGAAACGAAAATATAAAATCTAATTCCTCTTCGTCAAAGTATCCGCAATTAATTGGATTGGAAAATACGGTAACAATTATTAAAAAGAAATGCAATGAATACATGTCTACAGGTACAATTACGTCGTTAATTTCGTATCTTGTTGAAGCTGCAGTGTCTATAGGATTGTATTTGTAGCTAAATTTTCTGCTCGAGTAAATCTTCTCCAGATTAAAGTCATTATTAGCAATGGCTCCTTCTTTAGCTAAATTCAAATTGTTTATCGTTGCAGAAAGCAACTCCTCAGTTTTATCCTTGAACAATTTTCTTCGCGCTAGTTTTGCAGACCTATGTGACTTGTCCAATGCATTCTTTATCGGAGATGATGTCTTTGGACTGAATTTCGAATCGCTATTTGATACCGGAGTATGTTTTCGATTACTGATAGGAGAAGTATGTGTAATAGTCGGCGATATCATTAGTTTAACTGCCATGTTTTTAGTTGGGCTATTTTTCACATCAGCTTTTGACAAACAATATACCTCATTACTTAATGAAACATTATTCTGCATTCCCTGTTTTCTATTTACTTTGCATGGGCTTTGTTTGGTGTTCTCACGTACAGGAAAAGTTTCCAGTTTGTTCGATAATCGTCTTTCCTTGGTTAACAACAGAAAAATTTAATATTCATAATAGTGTTAATACGATTAAACTTGTTACATTCATTAAACAACTTACTTTTTTCTCAACTATTTGATTTCTGTGATTAGATGATTCCTTGATATTTTTTGCATTTGCAGTGTTCTTATTACTACTTGTAACTTTATAGAATTGGTCTATCGTAGTTTGTACCATGTTTTAAATTGTTTCCACAATCATGAATTCATAGTACAGTTATAATGTCATGCTCATAACTCATTAGATTAAGTATATAATTGCAAAGGTACACAAAGCGGATTAAATTGTAAATGTAATCCTTGATACCTGGAGGAACAAACGGATCATATATTCTACATTATGCTGTGCTCTCAATCTTTGTTTATTTTGTTCGTACATTAGCCTATCCTTAAGTAAAACTTAATTTAGACTATAGCGCGAATCGACGAAAGAAATTACAATATTTACATAGTTCATACAAATTACCGACAAATACAAATGTTCTTTTATTCTTTTATTCTAAACGACACAGAGTCAAAATATAAATCTCGTACCACACAATAGAACGGTAAGTATCAACGGCATAATACTTTATTTTTAATATTTTCCGTAATTTTAAAACTATACACGAATGATGAAGAATATTTACGAAATGAAGCAATAAAACAAAACCTTGTCAATAATGTTATATTTGCGCGTTACCTCTAAAAATCTGGAAGTCGCATGTAGACGCATAGAGGAAAGAGAAATTAAAAATGTGAAATTACTTAAATCAACATCGTCGGAAATCACTGTATAAAATAAAACTCGACGAGAGCAATCTATGCGTTGTAGGTATTCTGATCTCTCTGATTCACACCTCAGATTAGGTTGGACAAGGTTAAGATCAACATTCTGCGCAGAAGCGCGAACTATCATATGGCGGGAAATTTGTATAACTGCCATACAATAAATACATAACCTTTTAATAAGAAAAATCTTTTTGTGATCGCGCGAATAAGGATTGGCCATTTCATTCAATTCAATGTTCTTATCGGTACAATAATTTATGTCGCGCCTGATGATACATAAGAATTATATCTCGTCCGTGAATAAAATATTATAACTAAATAAAGTAATCTATAAGAACACAAGAGAGAGTTTCGAATAAAAATAATACTCCCTCTTACAATATAATTATTATGTAAAAAAAATATTCAATCCTTTGTAAGAACAATAATCCCGTTTAAATTAAAAACAAAATGTCAAAAATATTAATCGCAACAAAATTTTTCGCAAAATTATTTCCGATGTAAATAGGCTGTTTCTTTAAAAATAAGAATGTTTAGAATGTAAAAAGAATTTACTTTTTGCAAGTCCACTTTTATCGAATTTTATCGTTGGACATTCAAATATAATTTTTTTTTGCGTTATATCAATATAATTGAAACATAATAGCAAGATCTCTTTTCGTTCCAGAGAAATACAAGGAGCTCCGCTTTCTGCGTGAAAAACGGAAAATACTTGTCCGATAAATTTAAAATAATGTATGATTGCACTAATGCACGCGGGAAGCATACATAAAATGCATACAACTGGATATAATAAATGAATTTTAGAATTGATTTCAAGATTTGACATGCTCGGAGATACTGTATACAGTGACTTCGCGACCTAAAACGCGCCGCACTCTTTCTCTCTCTCTCTCTCGTTTTATATTTTTATATTTGTATTTATATATGTATTTATATATGTATGTCGTTTGCATGTACAAGCTCACGAGCTGTGTTACGTGTATACGTACATATGTATACGAATATGTACAATAAGTCGTTCAGAGTTTAGAGTTTGCCGATTTTTCCTCCCTCTCCTCATCCTCGGAGTTACATAGTAATTAGAATATATTTAATAGCCAAAATGCAACCCGTAAATTGACTTACTTATATACACTCAATTAGTTACATCGTCTGCTATCAGTGTGTTGTTAATCGCAATAATCACGAATATTAATACTTAGGTCTCTATACATAAGTCGTAGGAAATGTTGACTCATCTACCTGGTAACACCTCTATTCACTACACTTCAGTAAAATACAAAGATCAACGAAATATCTCGCTTGGATAATAAAAAAAAAAAAAAAAAAAGGAATCGTCGCATGTTCCATAATTAACTCTGTTGTATAGCTCTCGACGCAAAGTGAGAAAGATTAAGGAAACGTATATTATACGGCGTATAATAGTTCATTCAGGAATGTAAATCATTCGTCGGATGATAGTTGTTTCAATAAATAAGACGTGTATTTCAGTATTTTTGACAATTACATCTGACAATCCGCCGGATTTCCGGACAATTGGACGAGCCATAATGCACGTTTTTCAAGTAAAAGGTGTTATCAGGTGACAGAAGATTAAATAATCGTATCGTATCGAAGAACAAGTCGAAGGGTTGTGTCTCTCTAGAGAGAGCGAATATTCTATATATGTAATTATATAGAACTCTCTACGTCACCTTCCCTCCTCCGCGAGTTCTCCGACTCTGTTACACACACAAGTTATTCTTTCGAGAAAAATTTTTTATTACTCGCGTCCAAAGTTTCGTTCAAATCGGAGCTTTGGTTCGGAGAAACGTTTTATTTCGTCTCTTCTCTTTGTTTTTCCGATTACATCTTCCTGTCGCACAGCGACGCAGAAGCCCTAATGTGTATTCACAGAATAAAATACATGTATAAGTAGATACACATCGTGTGTCTCGACGCGTCAGTCGATATTATCAGTAAATCTGTTTTAACACGCAGAAAAATGTCGTGGAGGTTTTTTTCTCGTCTAGATATCTATTAACCGTAAGCTCATTCCTCTTCTCGATAATCTCTTTGTTTTTTCTTCGCGCAAATTAGTAGTTTCTTTCTTCTTTTCTCTCATCGTCTCGATCATTCTCAGAGAATATTTGCATTGATCTGTCTTACTTCTACTTACATGATATACTATTGTTTCTCGCGAATGCAACGAATTGGGTAAACACGAAATCTCACCGTCTGATACGACCGATCATTATTTTACTTTCTTAATCATATATTTATCGAAAACGAAATATCTCCAAGTATCCTTAATAGTCTCCACTCGCACGGGAGTTTGACTCAAAAAAATTTTTTTCTGCGAGTTTCGTCGCAAAACAAACGGTCTTAACTGCAGTGGAATTTCGTGTTTGCCAAACCAGAAATGTAAAGCGAACTCAGTCTTTGGTTGGAGCGATCAAATCTTGATGATTCTCGACATTTTATTTAATTTTAAAATGGCTATTTTGGGTCATTATATTTTTAACATTAATAAATTTTATATAAAAATTCATATATACCACTATATATACTTCGTTTTTTAAAGCGTCCCAACTAAAATAAACAAATTACTTTTTTTCTTTACAAATACATATTCTCGAACTCCTTTTTCTCATTCGCATAAAATCGCTCGTTCTTCTCAAAATCATTTGGCGGAAAAATTGTCGCTTCTTTCTTTTTAAGGCGTCGCTAAAAATCTCGATAGTAGCATATATAACGCCGTATACACTGTGTGTGTTTGTATGTGTGTGTGCGTTTATGTTGTGTGTACGTATGTGTTTTTCATGACGAGCAAATAACATTTATAAAAGCCAAACGCTATACAAATACGAGCGAATAAAGTGGAGAGACTGGAAGATACGGCTTCGCGCGCAACAGTGAATCTGAGAAAAACGAGAGAAATAATGAAATATCTAAAGAGTATGTACAAATATGTGTCAGAAAACGGATTTCACAAAAAAAAATGTTAGATGATATACAGGCGAAAGTGTGTGAAGAGATCTTAACAAAATAATAAGTCCTATCCAGGATAAAATTTCTTTATTACTCCTCCCTTCTAAAATCGTCTTGAATTCATAAATTTTCGTACACGTTTCGCTGTGCGCCTACCACAACAACATTTTTTTTATTACAATTATTTAGTTAATTACCTAAAAATAAGAGATACAATAAGCGTAATTATTTTTATATGTACAATATATCCTTTTTTTTGTTTTATTTTATTACGATTTCGAGAAGTCTGCCTTCTTTTTTTTTTTTTACATAATTTGTAACACATTCGCATCATAATATTATAACCCCCGTTCTCGCGTTACGGCTGGCGACAAATCCGTTTCATTGCTCGTTAATACGAAAGGTTTTTTGATAGACATTTACGAATAAATCAAGAATTCATTTTATACCGGCGATTATTCAATGATCAGTGCCTGCGTGTTTTAACTTTTAACAAATAACAATCAAGAGCTCTCTTTCTCTCTCTCTACGCAATCTCGAAACTCATATTTAACTCTTGCACGCGGTTATTCTGGTTGCAGTAACAAGAAAAGTACAACTATCAATATGTTAAAGAAGAATATGAATTAAATGTGACTGTAGAAAGTACAAAAGAGATCTGTTCTCCGTAAAGTATTTCGACAAAATAAAAACCACTTTCTCCGATCTCGATATATCCTGAAAAAATATCGTTATTTCGGAAAGATTGCCTTGTTTAGAACATGGCGTACATTCAGAAATTAAATGTACACTCGATATATTGTCAGTTTGATCGTAAAGATATTCCCTCGTTTCTTCTACATGTCTTTTTACACATTTCCTTACAACTTTTGCATTCTGATGAAGTAATAAAAAGAGAGATGGTGGTATATAGAAAGATTAAGGGAGGAAGAGAGTGTCACGCATATATTACATGTGGAAATCCAAGAGATACTATAACATATTAGTCATTGGTCTTTTTCCGAGATAATGAATGGAGGTTTGTCTTCGCAAAAGCGTTTTATATACTTTGTTTATCTGAAAGAATGGTGTATATCGATTAAATGTGAAACGACAAGATGTTTTGATCAAATTAATTATAAATATTTGCTTTCAGGTATATTCAAGATAATTTGTTCAGTTGTATCAACAAACTCTACCGCTTGGACTTTGCAGCCAACTACATATGCACGCCGGTGAAAGAACAAATGTCACTCGTATATAATTTGGCGTTACCTTCTCGGTAGAATAACCGTTGAAATATCTGTTCAAACAGAGATTTTATGATAGCACGCCTGAATTTTATCCGCATGCTCGAATTTTCCAAGTATGTACGTAATGTGAGACAAGATTTACACTATTTGAATTTCGATATTAACATTTAAGCTATAAGGAATCTATTCTATAAATAAGAACGAATATCGAACAGTTTTCGAGCAGAGTTTACATTTATCTATGGTAAAATGTTATCGAGTCTATGAAAGGGCAGATAAAAATGTAGTAGAATGAGGTGCAGAATATTGTATAATAGAGCTTTTCTTTCGTTCTCATTTCTTTTAAATTCACACACATCCGAGAAATAAAAAAAAAATCACGGAATAAATTGAATCGCATAAGATATATGAAGAACAGATATATGAAGTTATACTAAAAAATTTATCTTTGGAAACAATGAAATTTAATCGTTTATACATTTATTTTGCCAAAGACCTTTGCTTGAAGTACTTCAATATTTCAGTATCTCTAATATCGATAATGGTAGAGTTTCAGTCACTAATGTGAAAGACATAAGTGTTCTTATACATTGCCCTAATGTGAGCTTTGTAGCTTCTAACACAGTATTATATAATGATCTCTCTGCAAATCCTATGATACAAGCTTTTCCAAACGCAACATTATAAAATTACTCTATAATCGCATATCAGTCGCATATAATAAGTGACAGATATGCACGTATCAAAATGTACGTTTTGGCGATTACTGGAGAAAGAGAAAAAAAGAAAGTCCTTTTACGATTATATGACTTAATGCTATCAAAGATTCATTGATAACAATAGCTTCGATATTTCACAGCCTGGAAGCCTTTAACATAGTATTATATATGTATTTATATATA